CGAGCTCTAGAGTGATCAATTCAACCATGGAGATTTCTGATACCTCTAGCGAGGCATTTCTCAGCATGAAGATCACTGCAATGAAGAGACAATAGAATTCACTCGTGCCCCTTTTGTTCAAAACAGGGGCCCCTTGAGACAAACTCGACCGCGGGGATAGAACATGGTGCGACTTCGAGTTGTGCGGTTGTGACACGTCATTTTTCTTTAGCAGTTCGTTTTCGACCTTCGGTTGCGATAGGGCGCAACACATTGGTAGCGGAGCTGTTCTACGATCCTTGGGACCTGTTTCTTTTCAGAGTGCTAGCTAGCGTGGCAATTTTTCTTGGATGTCCCGAAAGGGCGGTTCGAGCAGTGGGAAGAAAGAAGATGATGACTCCAAGAGTTACAATAGAGTACCTCTCTGGAATGGAAAGCCTGAAGATTTTCAGCACTATATCCAGGAGATTAGATGGTTTCTGATTGCTACCAAACCTGCTGATAGACCATATGCTGCAGCAAGGCTGGTTCGTCGGATGTTGGAGAGTGAGTACACGGCTCTTCGAACCTTGATGTACAAGTTAGATCCTGAAGACTTTCAGGATGAGTCAGGGATTCAAAAGCTGGTGACCTTTTTGGAAAACTCCCCAATGAACAAGCAGCCTATTCCAGATGCAGGGGCAAAGCTGTCTCAGTATTATAGGAAGCTGAATAGACGTGCGAATGAAACCATTCCTCAGTTCCTGGTCCGTCAAAAATACTCGTATGACACCATGTGGAGAAGCTTGCAAAGGTTGCTTCGTGAAAAGCAGGTTGATTTCTCGAAGTATGAAGTGACCGAGCAGGAGCTTCGCGTGTTTTGTGGCATGCGTCCCAACGAGTCCTTCTTCTATGACGACGAACTTCAGGCAGAAGAGGAAGAGCTCGCAGCTCCTCCACCAGACGAAGAGGAAGGAGAGTCGACAAGGACCAAAAACCCTTTTGCCTCTCCACCAATGTCGAGGTCAGGTTCGCAAAAGGGATCTCAAGATTCCCAACCTCTGAAGGGAGCTCCACGAAAGCGGGATTTGATTGAGATGCTCATGAGAAAAGGTTTAATCCCACTTGCAGCTCTTGACATCATCCGAGGTTGGATGATCCTTGAAGCAACAGCCTCAAGTGATGTTGAGAAGTCACTCATCAAAGCCTCAACCCAGAACAAGTTGGGCTACCAGGAGGTTCGCTCAGCATTGTTGAGCATGCATGAAGATCGAGGCCGTGAAGTTTCGATGCCTCGGAGCTCTCGATTTTCTCGCCATGCAGCTCACTGGATTCATGAGGATGAAGAGTGGCATGAAGAGGAACCAGAAAATTTCCAAGACCAGTTCATGGGAGAAAAGTGGCCAGAAGAAGAATCCTGGCAGGAGAACATGTATGGTCAAGATGATTCATGGCCAGACGAGCCCAATGAGAATGACGCAGAAGAACAAGCAGAAGACCTTTCAGAACACACTGCCATGATGAGCCAACTCCAAGAAGAGGAAGTGAAACTCCAAGCAATGCTGGCTGACACTCAGAGAAATTTGACTCAAGCCCCTCAGGCAGTTGCGGAGGCCAAGCGAGATCGAGGTTGGCAAGGACAATCCATGGGGAAGTCATCGAAGCCAACCAGTACCTTTGTCTCCAAGGGCAAGGGGAAGTTCAAGAAGGGAAATTCTCCAGGCCCCGGCTTTTACAATTCTCCAGCTTCGAGTTCTCAAGCCATGTGGAACTCGACGAAGTCTTTCCCCAAGGGAGGAAAGCGACCTTTTCATTTTTCCAAAGGAAAAGGGAAATCCCCGAATGCATGGTATCACGAAATGCAGTACGAGTCTGGCATGCTGTCGCTGGAATCTGAGATTGAAGACCTCTATGCGGTGAACGCAAGGATTCCAGTGCCACCTCCGAGCTCTCGAATTTCCGAGCCAGGAGGGACCAAGGGTGTGATTGACACCGGGGCCACAGTCAGTGCAGGTGGACAGAAAGCCGTCCAAGAGTTAGTCACTGGCTTAGCAGCAGTTCGACCAGACTTGGAAGGTGAAGATAACGCAAGATGACAAACCGTTTTTTCGTTTTGGGAACGGCAAATGGGGGCAGGCTTTGTTCAGAGTAGAGTTGAGGACAGGGCTCCAGCTTTCATTTGTATTCCTTGCCCGCTCAAAATGTTCCAGTTTTGGTTGGCATGAGGGAATTGGATCAGTTGGATGTCATTTTGAACTGTAAAACAAGACATGCAATAGTTTCCGGGAAACAATGCATCTTGCAGGCCACCTCAAAAGGCCATGCTCTTTTAGATTTTGCTGTTGATATTCCTTTTTCACACGGTGGGAAGCAGTCGCAAGCTTTTCGAGTCGGAGAGTGCCATTTTTCGTCGTGTGAATATTCAGTGTCGAATGAATCGTCGTGCATGCATTTTGACAATTCCAGTGGACCAGATTTTTCGATTTTTGCAGTTGAACAACAACCAGATGCGCAGTCTCATTTAGAACTTTTGGGAATCAGTGAATCTCAATGGCAGTTTCTGACGCAGCTGCCTCCTTTGGTTGAAATTTCCCCAGCGAACTCAGCACGTACTTTGAGTGATCCTCGACATGTCGAACACCGTCGAGTTCAAGGCAATGCTGAAGGAAGCTGTCAAGGAGGTTTTAGAAGAGAAAGAGAAAGCCGAGTCAAGCCAGGGCTATCCGTCAGCTGGAGCTCCGAAGTCCAGCGCCAAGGCCAAGGGCAAGAAAGTGAAGACCGAGTTCGACGAGACTCGGACTATGTCTCCGGTGTGGGACTCAGATCCGAGGACAAGCAAGACCCAGTGGCCATGTTTCAACAATCATGTTCTCACCACCAGCAACAACAAATGGGGACGATGGACGGAATGCCGAGTGTGCGCTCTTCGGACCTCGTACACCCCGGCAGTTGGGGCACCAGCCACGACCTGCAAGATCGACCACTCCACGAATGCGATTCAAGCTCTCGAGCGCCTGCGCCAAATGGGGTGGACCAAAGAGACCATGGAGGAGAACACAGTGAAGAACATGTTGAAACTCGTGGCCTCCGAGCAGGTTGTGATGAAGCCAAAGTCTTCGAAAGGGGCTCAGCCTTCGAAGGGGAAGAAGAACAAGGCCGAGGAGAAAGAAGATGCGCAGGAGATCTCCGACGGCTCTTTCGAAGGACTGGATCCCGACAAGACGACAAGTCAGAAAAAAGGCCGATGGCGAGTAGAAGATCATGAGATGGAGGAATCTCATGTGTGTGAGATGGACAAGTCCCAAAAAATGGCATTGAGTGAGAGTGTGCGCACCAACTGGGCTGTCTTCGATTCTTCGCAAGCACTACGTGATCTGAGGGGCACTGAGAGTGAGCACCTTTGGGAGATTTGTTGTAGCCCGCATTCAGCTTTGAGCAATGAGATGAGACGACAGAAGTTCAAAGGAACAAGGTTCAACTATGAGAGTGGTTTTGATTTGGGGAACAAGCAAAAGGTACAAGCAGTTATCGACAGTATTCCTCAGCAGAAACCTACCAGGATTTGGGGCTCACCTCGTTGCACAGCAGTTTCCAGTATATAGAACTTGAACCGACCAACCGATGTTCAACGTCGGGAGCTGTACAAGAAAAGATTGAGGACCATTCGGGAAGTTCGCAATTTGATCGACATGTTCAAAGCTGGTGTTGCAAGAAATACGGGCAATACGCATATATACATGGAGTGGCCTAAGAATGCTTACTTTGGTTGGCGTTTTAAGGAATGGGAAGATCTCCGCAAGTGGCTTTGGGACAATTTCTCACAAACATTGTATTGGACAGAAATTCATGGTTGCATGTATGGGCATAAGCACAATGAGGAGTTCATCAACAAACCATGGTATGTGCTTACAACAGATTTCGATTTCTTTTGTTCTGTGGCAGTAAAATGTGATGGTTCACATGTACATCGCCAGGTTTTTGGAATTGGATCTGAAGCGGTACACGCAACAGCATGTTACCCCCAAGCAATGGTTCGAAGAGTTGTTCAAGTGTGGAAGAAACAATGGTACAATACATCACACGCAGAAGTGACTAAACAGTTGTACAACACCAGAGTGAATGACGAGGACCTGAAACAACTTTTGAGTGAAGCAGATCACCTCTTTCCTTTGTCCGTCGGAGGTTCGACCAGCTCAGCTACACCACAAACTGCAGGCGACCATGCCGGCGTGGGAATGGGGACTGACAGTGTGGAAGACAAAGTTGTTTTGGAGAGTGCACCATCATCGAAAGAGAGGGAGAGAGTTTTGGGCATGTTGCATCGACTTCACAGGGCTGCAGGTCATCCGACGAATGCAAGTTTAGCTAAACTGTGTTCTCCTCGCAAGATGGCTCCATGGATAGTTGAAGAAGCAAGAAACCTTGTTTGCCAATCATGCGTTGAAACACAGAGAGGGATGCAGAAAGTTTTACCTGTTTCTTTGTCAGACCAAACAAAGCCGTGGGAGTTGGTTGCTATGGATGCCTTTGAACCAGCTTATCCTGTTCAACAACAGAAAGCTAGGTATATCATCATGATGTGCACCGCCATGCATTTTGTTGCCATTGCTTGCACTTGGGTCGGTCCTTTGAATACCACAGGAACAGATCCAGGACATCGAGTGATCGACTTTTTGCAATCATTGGTTGATGCATCGGCCTCGTCCCAGGTGGATTCTCATGGACAGTCAAACTTCTTTTGCGCAAGGTGTGAAAACACACAGCGCACTAACACACCTTTTTCATCTGTGCCGGTACGGCCTCGGGTGCTCATCTATGTCCTCCCATGGTCGTGTCACACATGGGTTCCCTGTCCACTTCATGTTTTTCACACACCCCGGAATGAGACATGTGTGACATCTTGTTTTGTCGGTGTGCGCGCTTTGCATCCAACATTTCTTGTTCCTCCATGATGGCGTAGGAGCTTGTATTCAACACATGCCGGATCAACGTCGGTCTGACTGATAATTTTGTCATGCAGTCAACTAACATTTGCTTTGTATCTATCCAGCGAATGTGAACTTGATGTTGCTTGATGTCTCGTCGTAAAAGCAGTACCTCTATAGCTTGTCTCTTATCTTGAATCATGCCAACATCATTGCGAACATGGTCAAAGAGAGGCTTGTTGTCGGTCACTGCTATCACATCAACTTGTTTTGCCAGCTGTTCAATGTTGTCCAAATTGTATTCTGAATTCAAAACTTCCAAGAAAAACTGCTTTGTCCAAATTGCTTCGGCCACACCCTTCGAAACAGTGTAGAGCTCAGCGGCCAATGTACTGCTCACTGCCCTGTCCTGTTTCTGGCTCTTCCACTTTAGCGGAGTCACCGGGGTGATCTTGCCTCCATGCATTGCCTTGGTGGTGGCGCATACCATGTATGCTGACTGACTTTTCAGGTCACTTTCCGTAGCCCAGGAAGCATCTGCTGTCACCAAAATGGTGAGTTCTTGTAAGTCAATCGGCACCACCTTCACTGCAACATGTTTGAAATCTCTCGCTTCTGCCACTGCTCTGTTTGCTTCACCAATGTTCTCCACTGTACCATTCTGTATGTTCTGTTGTATCTTTGCCGTCATGGCTGCCAGGTCTGGTCTTGTTGCCGTTGACAACCAATTCAAGCCGCCTGCCACACCTCGTAGCTGGCTCTTCTCTTTTTCATTCAGTGGCTGTTCTTTGTCTCTTTTTCTCTCTCGGGTAATCTTGATGGTGTTCAGCTTTTCTGCATATTCACGTTGCTCAATCACAAACCCATCGGAATTTCGATGTATCTGTCTTCCCAAAAACTCTCCACCATCTGTCTTCCAATGTTTAAAAGGATACAATGTTCTCAACTTGTTTGTGACATTCTTCTCAAACAATGTCGTACCTGTGCAGATAAGATCGTCCACGTGTACTGCCAGCGAACCATGGTACTCTTTGTCACACCAATAGTGAAACAAGCATGGGTCCAGACATGACTGCTTCAGTCCAGTTGAGATCAAGCTCTTGGTCAATGTGTCATGCCATGCCTTTGGAGCATCTGCCAGTCCGTAGATTGCCTTCTCAGCCATCAGCAAACTTCCAGGGGGCACTCCTGGCATACCTCCCGGAGGAGGTTCAATGTAGAGAGGTCCTTCATCTCGTCGGAGTTGATCTCCCTGTAGGAAAGCTCCTTCGACATCACCAATGTTCAATGGCCAATGCATTGATGCGCTGACCTGCAGGATGAGTCCTAGTGCCTCTGTACTCAACGTTGGTGCTTGTTTCTCCAACTTGTGTAGGTCAGGGTCCAGGTATCCTCGGATGCACCATCTTGCCTTCTTCTTGAACTTTCCAGGTTGCTTGTCATCGGGCTTCTCGGTGATCACAAATCTCGACGGAAGGATGCGCCCCTTGTTGCGTCTGATCTGCTGTGCTTCTGCTGGAGGTATGATCTTCATTGCTTTGTATTTGAACAGCTTCTCAACTTCTGTTCGTTTGCTTTCCTCCAGGATAACTTCTGTGTCATCCTTGAGGCCTTCCCACACTGTTGTTTCGTATACTTCATGTTCATCGGTGGGAAATGTAGTTTCCAACTCTGGTGTCGTGATCTCAAAGACAGAGTAGCCTGTCCACTGATGCAACTCTGGATGATGTTGTTGTGGCTTCAGGTAGTTGTCATCGGTAATCACCTTGTAGCCATCACCCTCATCCGTTCTGATCAGCGAATATCTTCGACCTGTCAGCCACTGCAGAGGGACTGGACACGTCTTCTCACATGGCCGGTATGGCCCTCTTTGATGACCATGCAGTCGAATCAAAACGCCATCATCCCATGAAATCTTCCAATGCCTGCTTCTGTCTGTCCATTGACCTATCTGCAACTCTGCTTGCAGTGCTTCTGTGCCTGGACGTTGTGGTCGTCTGCCTGTGTCCAGTCTGCTGAGGTCTTGCCTCATTGCCCTGGTCAATGGAGTCTCGCGAACTGGGCCATATGCACTTGCCGTTGCGGAATCGTTCACGTGTGCTGGCTGTTCCACTAGTGCAGGAGATGGAACATTGTTGTCCACCTCTTCCACACTGGTCATTGGCTCTACCTCTGGTGCTTCGGTGGGTGTATAGCTAATGCTATTTGGGGTGTCTGTTGCTGCCTCTTCCTCAATCTGCATAGGCTGAGGTCCTGGGTCAGCATATCTCTCTGTTGATAGCTCTGGTTGCTCATGCTCTTCACGTCTTCTTTTGATTGTGAACACAGTACAGCCTGTCCATGGGTCCTGTTTCTCACCAGCCCCAACCTCTCTCCAATCATCAAACTGCTCCTTCTTCACAGCTATCAGATTTTGATAATTGATCATTGTTTTCCGACGACTGTTGATGAGGTCTAGTTCGACCGGCGGTTCGTCAGCTGCCAAGGGGATGTACAAATGCTGTCGTGGTTGCACATGTATCCTCCGTAGGAGAATACCGTTGAGCTCCCAGTAGTCCCGTCCACTTTCAGCTTCTTCACTCGGAGGTCGTCCGTCAGCTGATATGTCGTGGTATGTAGCTACGCCACGCTTCGATGTGACATGGGACCAGTCTATCAACTCCTGAGGAATGAGCCGAATTGTTGCTTCATCTTCACTTCTCAACCGTCTCAACTGTTCGGGTGAACATTTCAGCACCTTCGTACCAAAAGAAACCCACACTTTGTCGCTACCACTGGCACCAATGACCGTCCCCGGACCTCGCCAAAACCACGGCATGGAACCATCATCCTTCTTTTTACCGGGTCTCCAAACATAAACCTTGCAACCAGGATAGAAGGGCCCCCTCTCCGGACGCGTGCGACGCTCGACAGCCCTTCGGATTCGATCCTCGTTGTCAGCATCGATGAAAGCCTTTCTAGCTTCTTGTCTCATCTGAACAGCACGAACAAAACTCGCGTCACCGGCCAGGTACCCACTATTGATACCAACATGAGGGTTCTCGTCACCGCTATACACCATTCCCGGAATCCTCGCTTGTTGACCGAACACCCGTTGATGAGGTGAGTGTCCATCGTGGTTCAACATGGCGTTTTTGGCCGAATTCACCTGTTGAATCACCTCCTCAGCCTGTTCTTTGTTGGTGGGAGGGAAAGTAGCCACCATTTTCATGTACATGGACTTCCAAGTGCCACCGTGCCGTTCACAAAACCCATTTTGCCATGGTGAAAACCCAGCACTTCTCTCGTCCGTCGTCCCGTCCAGCCACAAACCTTCTTGAAAGGGACCTTCGAATTCAGAACCATTATCCGAAAACAGCCTCTTTGGGGCCCCAAAAATTCCCTTCCAAGACCTTCGATACGCGCGTCGCGTTTCCTCCGCGTTTCGTCCCGCCCAAAGCGGCGCGACGACATGAAAACAAGTTCCCTCGCAGATCATGCTAAGAAACGAGACTTTCTTACCGAGCACTTCCAGATCGAACGTGTCGCAACACACTCCGGCGTTGAACTCGAAAGTACGACGAACCTTACTCACCTTAGGGGCCTTCAAGCCTTGGTGGCCTTCACAGACAGGGCACTTGTACTCTCTAGCATACTTGATGGCCTGTTCAGAAGCTCCCGCGTGTTTCAACATCATGCAAAAACGTTCAACACTCGGATGGCCAAGGTTTTGATGTGCTCTTCGAATGCTCTCCCTCACATGACTCTCCCCACCATGTGTTCCAACAGCTTCAACAGTCATGATCTCATTACTATCATAATGACCCCGTTCACGACGTCGTTTCTGTTCAACGATGCATTCGCAAAGCGAGCTACAAAACTCTCTAGGATACACTTGTGCCAGACGTGTCCTATTCATCCATCGACCTTCAACCTTGACCTGTCCTTCACACACCTGATGCTCATGTGTTTTGTCACACCGTTTTTCCATGCGTTTCATGATGTCTTCGTCCAGGTTTCCCAGCAGCCGAGTTCCCTTCTTGATACGCACGTCCGATCCGATGTCACGCATACCGAACATGCACATGTCCAAACAAACCATGGTCACACCCGTTTGTTTCTCCAAGTCGATCAACCCCTGGTATTTCCATGAACGAGCAAACTCGGGATGTTCGAAAACAAAGAAGCGGTCGTTGCTCATTTGAAGTTTACACACCTCAATGCCGAAAAGAAGCAACGTCATGGCCTTCTTCCTTTCTTCTTTTTCTTTGTTCTCGTCCTCACATGGTTGTCGAATCGTGGAGAAAAAGGTGCATGGTGGGCAAACAACACATATGAGAGGTTTCGTGTCCGCGATCGTGCGATACACCCTATTCCTGGTTTGCGTGTCCAACAAATCGTCACCCAATTGCAAATCAAAACAGTCTCCAGCCCTCAGTTCGTACCTACCACCTTCTTGAGTCACCCTAGGAATGGAAAACACTTCACATATGTCCGGCCCATCCCACTCTGCCCGGCTGATGCTCTTTTGCCAGGAAGTGTGACAGTCATACTCTTGAAGAGTCTCAATGGTCCGCCGGAGTTTCCGACGGGTCTTCCTGTTCATATCATGAACGCTCGTGTCAGCCGTGTCAATCTCACCGGATTGGGAGCCTTCCAACTCCTCTGTACCAGCTGACGGTTCTTCTGACGTGCCTACTGCTCGTCGGCCTGGTGAGGAGTGGTCTGACTCACCGCAAGCCGAGACAAGATGCGTGCCACTTTCTGGGGTCCTCCTGGGGTGTTCTGCATCCAGGTGGCTTCCTTCTCCACATGCTCTCGAGCTTCTTCGTTCTTGTTCATCAATTCCATGGTCCACATGGTCCAGGTGTACTGAAGCTCCTCGGCCTTGGCTGTCTCGATCTCCATGTCGTCGTCCCTCTGTCGTCGGCGTCGAACCTGATCGGGTGGTGTCCTGGACTCTTGATTCATCCTCTTCGGCATCGGCACTCCGTAGGTGCTGCCTGGTGGTCCTGTCACCATCTGCCAGCTGTGGGCGGTGTGGTTTGACATTGCATCGCTCTCCCGCATCCGACTGGGACGTTTCGGGAGAGGTGGGACTACCATCTGCTGCACTGTGTACTCTGCACTGATGCCTCCGCTCGGTCGACTGCCTGCCACGATGCCCGACGAGTGGAATGTCACATCTCGGCCATGCCGTTGGGTCACCCGTTCCAACCGCTGAGCCTTCTTGGTGTCTCGCATCTCCACATAGGCCTTGAAGGTCCTCAGATGTTGCGAGCTTGTTCCCCCGATGTGCGATCGAACCCAACCTGTATAGTTCTTCTGGCATGTGTAAATGTACCGGAAGGTGTTGGCTGGTGCATGTGGCTTTGTCTTGAACTTGCCCTCCATCATGACCGTGTCCCCCGCAATCTGAGGATGTCGAGGTGAATCGTCCTCCAAGTCGTGTTGCTGATCCAGGTGCTGTTCCATGGGCATGAGATGTCCCAACTGCAGCGAACTCAACAACTGGTGACTGTCCGGACTCACACGATCGGGACTGCCTCCGGCATACGACATGGCACTCCTTGTCCTGGTTGACACTGCTCTGAACTCGATCACAAGCACGGCTGTGGTGTGCACGATGTGTGTGTGAAATCAAAAAGCGGAACCGCATAATGACCCTTACTGGTTATTCCCAAACGAACACACTGATCTCCGAGGCGTGCAAAACTCATTGTATCGTGGACAAGGTCTAAGCGAGCTCCTAGTTCTTTCAAAAGTTCCTTCGACATGAGGAGTGGTGTCTCCGACCCGCTACCTGGAAGAATTGCCACCTGAATCAACACCTGCCTACCCGCAATGCAACAAGGAATAACAGCAACTTCACTAGACTGCAAACTACCATTGTTTCCAAACGAAAGTGAGAAATGGCTTTCTTCCGCTGAACTTCCCTGCCCTGTGCCCTCAAACGATCTTCAACGCGTTGAAGAACCCTTTCCCCGATGAGGGATCTACGGCAGGCGGTATCTGGAATACCGTGAGCGTCAAGAGCGGCCGGCATGTATTCCGCACAAATCTGATCTTCACCGTCCTCATGAAAAACATCGAAAGAAACATCCTGTACAGAAGCAAGCTGCCTTCTCCCGGTGTTTGGGCTCAAGGCCGTACTCCCATGATCTTGAAAATTTGGTGGCACAGGCGCATTCCACGGGTCAAGCATGACGGAACGCGGCGTGTTGGCGCTTTCTCCGCTCCCCTGGATCATAAAGGCGTCCAACCCTAGCTCAATCTCGGATGCTGTCTGATCTAATAGCTTGTCATAGTCCTCCTGCTCTGGCCATTCACTCTCCACAATGTGAACCTCTTTCGAAGAGGCTTGGCTTGCAGATGACGAAGGACCACGACTGCTGCCCTTTCCTCCACTTCGTGATGGGCACTCCTTACGCCAGTGGCCAATTTGGCCGCAGCGATGACAGCGAGTCCGAGCTTTCACTTGTTGAAGCTTCGCAGAAATGGTTCCCTGTAGTTTCCACGGCTGATTCGAACTGCTGTTGGAGCTCTCTGAACGAAAGCCCCTGGCCTTTCGGACCTCCTGCATCTTGGTCCTCACTTGCTTGTACGTCTCAAATGTGTCCAGAAGTTCCTCTTCATCATAGGTGTCATTCTCCTGGATCTCTGCAGCAAGGACCTGAAGCACTTCCTGATCCTCGTCCCAAGAGGTGTCAACCTCTTGCACTGAGTCGTCAACCGACATGAACGTGTCTTTCTGGCTGGTCCTTGTCGAACCCTTCGCATTGGCCAAAATGGCCCTGACTGCTTGTGACACTTCCTTGACTTTGAACGACCCACGCGTAGCTGTGAGCAGCATTGCCTCCTGATTTGCGTCCAGGTGCAATTTCCTCAACATGAACCAGCCCTGAACCTCCTCTGGGAGTGCCACGCCCTGCTCTTGCAGCTTTCGCTCCACAGTCATGAAGCGGGTGATGAAAGCTTTCATCGTCTCACCTGACCGAATTGAGGTCTCAAAGAAAAACTCCTTCAGCGCCTCATTCATGTCGTCCTTCTCGAGCGGCTTGAAGCGATCATCCAATGCTTTAAACACTAGTTTCTCACCGCCGCTCTTCGCCAAGTCTTCGACGGGAATATGTTCAACCGCCAACTCAGCCTCGCCAGCCAAAAACTCGATCAATTTCGGACCGTGCTTCTCAGCAGGATATGTATTGGGCAGACCGATGATCATCAATGCAGCCCTCCGTCTCCACCTCTTATAGAGGCTTGGATCCGAACCATCGAAGCGTTCCAGCCGCGTGGGCGCACCGCCAGAAGCTTCATTCGCCATGGCTGGAGCCCAGCCGCTACCCCTCGTGCATCGACGACGGGCACGAGCGGCAACGACCGGGCTCCGCTACCACTGTGAAAACACACAGCGCACTAACACACCTTTTTCATCTGTGCCGGTACGGCCTCGGGTGCTCATCTATGTCCTCCCATGGTCGTGTCACACATGGGTTCCCTGTCCACTTCATGTTTTTCACACAAGGAGTGTTTCCAGAGTTTTTGCAGATGATTGGTGTTGGCTCTGTTGTCACAGCGCCAGAAGCCCATCATCAAAACGGTGTTGCAGAGTCATTGATTGGTGCATGCAAACGAACAATGAGAAGATTGAGAAATGAAGACCCCAATCTGTCTCCCAGCACTGTAGGCCACCTCACAGCCTTTGCTCACAATCATTCTGATGATATACTCCAGTTCAGTGGGCATATGGTTGGGATCCGGATTCCTGGGAAAATCCGACCGATCCTCTATTTGCAAACCAGGGAAGCGAGTTTGGTTCTCATACCTTTTCAGAGTTTCAGAAGAAACGCAATTTGGCTGAACAGATTAGTTTAGAAGAGCGTGCTAGAACTATGACTACAAGACTAGACTGATAAATGCTGCTCCTCGAGATCCGTTCAAGCTTTCTATTGGGGACCATGTTTGTGTTTGGAGGACTTCAACATTGAAGGCACGAAAGAGAGATGAGAACTACAATCCAGAACCAAGGTTCATTGGCCCAGGAAGAGTTATTTTGATTCAACCTCCCATTCAACAAGACAGACGACCTGGTGTTTTGTGGGTTCTCATGGGTTCAACAGTGTACCGTTGTGCTCCAGAACAACTTCGTTTTGCAACTCAGACTGAAGTGTTGGTGGATTTGATGAAACAGGGTCGGACAACAGTTTTGCCAAAGGAAGATTTGATGAAGCGTTTGCAATCGTATGTTGATGTCACTCGTGAAGCTGCTCATATTCCTCCTCGAGAAGGCACAATCCAGCAGGAAGAGGCAGTTCCGGAATTGGAGAGTGGGGAGGAATGGGAACAACAGGTTCAACGAGGCTTCAAACGAGAGAGACAAGATGATCCCAGACCAATTGAACAACGTAGACGTTCAAGTGTTGAAGAGCTGAGAAGACGCTGGACTCAACTGATTTCTGTAAACGAAAACAGACGTCGTGAAGGTTTGCCACCGTTGATGGAACTACCGGAATCAGCAGACCATCCACCCCTGTCGGAGGGTCCTGTCGCTTTGCCAATGGTTGAAAATGCAGACACAATTCTCACAAAGTCCTTGGGCATAGAACAATCAGAAGTTTTCCTTGCTGCATTCAAACAGATGGATTCAGAAGTACAACAAGAAATTGTTCAACAATTGCAACAAGTTTCAAACGAAGAGTTGGACGAAAGCTGTTTGAACAGATTGATCAGGAAATTCTGCAAGAAAATCAGCTTCTGTTTCATTTGCGGGAAGAGTGTGCCAAGAAAGACAAAGATTCTAGAATGGCTTGGTTCGTAGAGTTTGACATTGATGACGCGGACGCCTTTCTAGCAAACAACATTCTGTATGTCAAGAAAGTCCTTGAAGCTGCAAACCACAACGAAGTGCGATATGATAGATTGTCGGAGGAGGACAAACCATTGTTTGACGAGGCAAAGGCAAGAGAAGTTTCTGAAGTGATTGAATCAATGGCTCTCCGCAGGATTCAGTCTGCGATAGAGCACAAAGACGCCATGAATGACCCAGAAAGACACTTGCCTATGCGTTGGGTCCTGAGTCCTGACGTGGAAAGTGCAACATCCTCCTGAACCACCTAGGGGTGACGGACCACACGTGATGACGTCGACGGGAGAAAAGAAGGCGAAAGCCAGAGTTGTCATCATTGGATTCCGTCATCCAGACCTGGTCACCAAGAATGAGTTCAATCGTCCTGTCCTACAGACTTCCTCCCCAACTATCTCAAGGTTGGGGAAACATTTGCTGCTACAATCCATAGCTTTTGACGAACATGAGATGGAGTCTGCCGACGCCAAGTCAGCCTTCCTTCAGGCTGAAAACAATGAGGAGTCGAGACGTCTATGGACGAAAGCTGTTCCTGAGATCGCAGTGGCTATGGGCGTCCGCCCAGGGAGTTTGCTGAGAATTATGGGAGCATATCGGCTGACTAACGCTCCACAAATTTTTTGGAGAGACGCTTCTGAAAGATCGTTGTTGATTGTTCGAAACAAGCAGGGAAAGGTTTGTGGCCACATTGGGAGTCAAGTGGATGACTTCATTTTTGGAGGGGACATGTGTGATCCATGTTGGTTGAATTTCGAGATGGCATGAAAAGCATTTACAGGTGGTCGCCGTGGCAAAAAGGCGAATTTCAGTTTTCAGGCTGCAAGTTGACCCAGTCATTGACATATTCCATCACAATTTCCCAAGAAGAGTTCTGTAATGGTCTATACCCCGTTGTGATCAACAACGAAAAGGCTCGAGCAAGTTCGGACCAGTTGACTGCGTCAGAGATTTCGCAGACACGTGCTCTTCTGATGAAGGCTCAGTGGAGGGCTCTACAATCAGCTCCCCAATACTGCGCACGTATCAACCTTGCATCATCCGAGATCACAAAACCTACTCTTGGATTGTTGCAAGAGGCAAACGCAATAGTGAAGGACATGAAGAAAACAGCAAAAGATGATTTGATTCTACATTCTTTCAACTTCACCCGGAAACAAAAAGACAAGCTGCCCTACAGAGATTTGGTGTTTTTACAGTGGGGTGACGCTTCGCATAAGAACAGGATGAACAACTATTCCACAGGTGGGTTGGTTGTTGGTATTAGCACACCTGAGATATACACAGGAGTAGAAGCACCAGTTTCTGTTGTAGATTGGCGGACTTGGAAGTTGAAAAGAGTGGTGGCAGGTAGCAATGGTTCTGAGTCTCAGGCAATTTGTGAGGCTGAGGACAAGGGTTTTCGCGCAAGACTCTTATTTGCCTTGCTGCAAGGTTTGGAGCTGAAACGTGACAACAGTGACATGCTGGCTTCAACTTTTTTGAGCTTTCTAGTGATGGACTCAAGAGGTTGCTACGACGCTTTGACCAACACAGAGGTTCCAGGTATGTCGATGGAGAATTCTCGTTCCTCTCTGGACATTTTGGCAATTTCACAGGGCATTTCCGAAGAGTCAAATCAACATCCTGCGTGGGTACCTGGTGACATGAATCTTGCAGACGCGTTCACAAAACATTCCGCTGAAGCATGGAAGACATTCATGTTGTACCTACAACGCAAAACATGGGTACTTCGTTGCAACGACCAATTCGTTTCTGCAAGAAAACAGCAGAAGTTGAGACGAAAGAAGCAAGCAGAGCAAGCAGGTGCCAGCTATCCTGACGAGTGGTATGAAGATCCATTTTCACGGAAGTTTGGCATAGAAGTTGCACGTTGAATTGAGAATGGATTTTTTTTGGTGTGTTGAGCGAGCTCTAGAGTGATCAATTCAACCATGGAGATTTCTGATACCTCTAGCGAGGCAGTTCTCAGCATGAAGATCACTGCAATGAAGAGACAATAGAATTCACTCGTGGCCCTTTTGTTCAAAACAGGGGCCCCTTGAGACAAACTCGACCGCGGGATAGAACATGGTGCGACTTCGAGTTGTGCGGTTGTGACACGTCATTTTTCTTTAGCAGTTCGTTTTCGACCTTCGGTTGCTATAGGGCGCAACACACATTCATTGGGCGTTCTCACTGTGAAAAAACTGAAATACCAAGCCCGCCTTTCCACACCAGCTGATCCTCAGGGTCAAAAATCCACCGTGGCTGCGGTGTTTGGCTCGAGCCACTGAAAGTTCATACGGCAACCGCGCGAAACAACTGATCAAACGAATCAGACGATCACACCCTATCAGGCCCTATCATAACTTGAAAGGAAGCGTGGTTGACCTTGACATCCAGCTCAATATCAACGGCCTCCAAGCATGGTCTACACATGAAACTCAGTTCAACCATGACGTTACAGAAGCTTTGACAAACCCATCAATCTAAAAAGTTTGTGACTTGAATCAACAACTCAGTTCCCCAGTTGCCCCAAGGTACCATGACCTCCACAAGTTTGAAAAACCTTGATCCATGAACGAACAATTTCTGAAAACAAGGTAGCGCACCTTTCGGCGCCTCACCCGCCTCATGGCTCTTAAACACACATGGCACATGGTCTAAGGGCTCTCATTCATGACCCTGTTTGGTCTGGCCACAGCTATGGTGGAGATAGCGCTGTCCATTGACAGTTGCCAACCACTTCTGCCGCTCCAAAGAACGGTGCGACCGACAGTTTCCTGCCAAACTTCTGATCTCCTGATCCAACTTCTCACCAGGATCTGCGATCATTTCTTTCTTTCTCAAGTTGCACGTGTTGCTCTCAGTGCATCTCGTTCACCACATAGATCAACATTTTTCTCTTGATGATCCTGCGTGATGCATCCACTTTCAACTCTTTCGTCCGTTGTCTCACTTTGCGTGGACGTCCACCGCACAATTTCCCAAACAGTGTGTGGTCACACTGAGGAAAAGCAGGTGTGGCGCGCAGGCGTGAACGGCCAATTCGTTGCTGTTTTCAAGCACATTTCTGCCTTTTGACATCAATGTGCATTTCGGTTTCTGTCAAAGCTTCTCAAAAGTTGCCAGCTCTGGCTGTTCACAGTCGTCTGACTCGTCTGCCAGTGCGTGGTCCAATGGCGGTCCAAAATGTTTTCTTTTCACCGCAAAGAATGCGAAGGCTCTGAAAGATGAAAGAGATGTTTTGCAGTCAAGCAAAACCAAAGAAGCCAACAAAACAACCAAACCAAGAACCAAACAACACCACCAGGAAATGTTAGGTCTCTTGAAGGTTTTTTTCTCGCGTGCACTTGAACAAATTCGGTGTGAACCTTGTTTTTGTGCGCTGCTGTCATTTTTTTTGCACGGGTGGAGCCGCCGTTCATGCAGGAAATGCATAGGTCAGCTTGCACTGCTTTTTAAAGAGTCTCTTGCATGAG